TAAAGAGATATAGAGGATAGATAAATAGGATAGATAGATAGATAGATAGATAGATAGATAGATAGATAGATAGATAGATAGATAGACAGACAGACAGACAGATTGATAAAGAGATATAGAGGATAGATAGATATAGATTGGAATCTAATCATATATCTAATAATGAGAGAGAGAGGGAAAAAAAGATAGGAGAGAGAGACAGACAGACAGACAGAAATAAATATAGATGATGGATAGATTGGTAGAGATAAAGAGATATAGAGGATAGACAGATAGAAAGAGAATTAGAGATAGATTGATAGAAAGTGAGAGACACAGACAGACAGACAGACAAGGTGCAAGGTTTTTTGCATGAGCAATAAATCAGATTCCCTGGAGCTTAACGTGCGCTCCTGATTCTTTCCTTCTGACAATTATCATTATTATTATTATTGTGTTTCTAGGAAAGCAACCGATCACAAGCGATGAAGGCACCAACCTGGATCATGTACAGCTGGGCAATCCGATATTCCTCAACGCTCATGGGGAGAGGAATCCGATACTCTTTTATGAGCATTTTGAAATCCGGTCGGGAAGGTGAGCCCGGAGACCTTTACCGGAGGCTGCTTAAATGACAACAACGAAGGCGGACATTTCCTGCAATCAAAGTGTGGAGAGAGAGAGAGAGAGAGAGAGAGATTGGTGGGAAAGTTTGCTTTAAGGAGGTCCTTCCCAATGCTGGGATTCCAATAATTTAACAACCTGTCTCTGCCCTAATAATTTCTTCCAACAGCCAGTTCACCAAAACTGCTCAGAAAGTTAACAACCGGATCTCGTGAACCGGTGAGAACCAGCTGAATCCCAGCACTGAATCCCTCCCTAGCTGGAGTAGGACAGACTTCGAATGGGATAAGCTGTTACCAAAGACCCAAAGAAAGATGACTGGTTTTTTTCCCCCCCTCCCCTGGCATTTCATCACCCCCAAAGAATTTTGAGGGTCTCCCCCAAGAGGGTAAACGGAGCTGCCTGTGACTTGCGGGGGGGAGGGGGGGGGGAGATGGGGATTATCTGCATATTAAAAGTAGGGTTAATAATTCCCACGTGGAAATGAGAAATCAGAGGGGAGCGGGAAGTGGTGGGCTTCAAATAATTGAATGACCAGTTCTCCGCCCTAATGATTTCTCCCAAAAACCAGTTCACCAAAACTGATCAGAAAGTGAACAACTGATTCTGTTGAACTGGTGCAAACTGGCTGAATCCCACCACTGGTCCTGCCTGGAGCAAAACCCCAATCCATCTTTCTTTACTTTCCATAGAATTTCATGTCCCCTAAACTGGAACCAAGCCTACAAAAAAACCCACAGATTTAATCTGTGAATTAATTTATCCCAGAATGAATGCATCTTAAGAGGAAGGGTCCTCGGTGCTCTCTGAACTCCTTCTAGTGCTGATGATGTTCCCCAGTTGGATCATGAAACGCCTGCAAGAAAACCTCCCAGCTCAGAGAGCACCAAGGACCCCTCCGCAGAATATCGATACTGTCAGCCTCATTAAATTTCACAGCTTCTCCAAAACGGCCTTTTGATGCCCTTCTGAAGTGCAAAAAGGCCTCGTAAAAGAGAAATAAGGTTTTTTTTTTCACCGTGTAAGAATCCTTAATTGGAGTTCTTTCTCTGGAGGAGGTTATTGGGCTGGGAAAGGAAAGCGAAAAAGCACCATTCCTGAGCCTTGATTCTTTTTCACACCTGGTCAGGCATGAAGCAAAGCCAGCTCTGAGCGCGAAATGCACTGAATCACCATCCAGAACCATTCCAACATCCCAGTCCAGGAAAAGTCTGCCCGTTGAGCAAAAGACACACACTTTAGACACGCACCCCCAAAATTACCTTTCGGTCACTTCCATGCACTTGAGATATTTGGGGGAAAGGACAAAAAAAAAATGTTAGCAGTTATCAAACTCTCTCAAGTAGTCCAGAATGAGAAAACGAGCCATAAATACTAACTTTACCTTCACTGTAAGGTTATAGTAACTGAATCTTGCAAGTCTGAAAGCGTTTCTTTCTTTCTTTACTTTGCAGGGAACAAAGAAAGAATCTTTTCTGAGACGCTTCCCACACCCTTTTTCTTCTGAGGGCTCTGCCGCCTCTTATCGGGCTGCAGCCTTTCCTTCTGTCTGCCAAGGTTGTTCTCACAGTCCATTCAAAACCTCCTGTCTGAACTGGGAAAACCCTGCTTGGCCGCTCTCTTGAAGTTGTTCCTGCATTTCTCTCCCAAGGGCACCCACGGCAATTCTGCAAAGACTTTTGCCACCCCGCTCCTCCATTCCCAACATCTGGAATCGGGAGTCAGCGGTAGGAAAAACGGACCACTTTTTCGAGCGACATGCACGACAGATGTGCTGCTTAAGGGAGTTGCGACAAAGCAGCACTGGACGCGGCTTCACAGCAAGCGCAGCCTTCTCTGCCGAGAAAGGGCATCGTTGATTTGCACAGTGTCCTCATCGTACGGCGCAAGCTTTTGGGAACCGTGACAGAGTGATTGTGGCCGAATTCCCATGCCACCCTAAATCCCCTTTTCTGTAACCCTGTTTTCTTGAAAACAAGCCACGTTAGTTCATGCAAGCGGGACTGTAATATGTAGGAACAAATTCAAGGCAGAAAACCTTTAAGCAGGAACGGAGAGAAGCTTGTTTGAGTCGGAGATGTGTTGAGGGACATTTGACACACACACACACCCTCGCAGTTCCCTCGCCCATCTTCTGATTATTCAGCTAACTGCCCTGCAAGTTCAAGAAGGAAACTTTTTTCAAAGTGTGAAGCATTTTGCCATCAATTGCTCGGCTTTGCGAAAGGCGGCAAAAGCCCTCCGTTTCACCCCAGCCAATTCTGCCCTTTTATTCGAGCCCCAAGCCAGTCAAGCAGAACGTGGTTGCGCTTCTGCAAGTCAAGAGGGATTTTGAACATCTCCAGCACGGTGAGGTGAAACATTTCAAGACATAGCTGGGCCTTAATATTCTTTATTAACACACGCTTGCTTATATATTCCTGCTTTTGTTATATATTCTGTGCTCCCTAAAAATTGCATTTCCCGATTCTCTTTCCAGCTGACTGACAGATTAACCGTGGTTTTACAATGAGACTCTCAATCAGTATTCTCCAGCACATTCTTGGCTTCCTGGCGGGCTGTCAACCCTACCTATTTTGATGTCGAAAGATCTTTTGAAGAATAACTAAAGAACGAACAGGGAAGTTAACGTGCCACGCTGCAAAAACCCACTTTGGATTTTCAAGGGCTTTGCAACTCAGCCTTCTTAGAAAACCAGAAAGGTCTACGGATGTTTGCTTCCCGGGATCTAGGAATCCAGAGATCACCCCATCCTGCTCTTTCATTTGTTTTGCACGAAAAACACGCTCTCCATCATACGAAATGCACCTGCTCACCCCAAAAGCATTGGGTAGACGCTGAGCCGCCAGCCTCATAACGCATCGTAATTATGGATTTCTTTCAAACATTGGTGCCACCCCGAGGAATTAGACCGCAAAAGTGAGAAAGCAGAGCTCCCAGGGAGGCGTTTTAACCTAAGTGACACGCATTAATGGGAGGGGGAGCTGTCAATAGGATAACTAGCATTGTGACACAGTTCAATTACTTTCAGACCAGGAACGCAACCTGTGCATTACGCACCAGCCATCAGATGCACCAAGAATCAGGCACAAATAAAATATTAAAACCTTCCTGGTGGAGACCAGCAACAGCCAGGCCCAACCCACCATCCAGATGTGCTTCACAAAGTTATTTTGAGGGCCTAATTTCCCCAGTGTGTTGTGGTCCGCCAGCAGCCTACGGTGGGGAAGGATGGGAACCACTCTGGGAGTCTGGGGAGGACTCAGACGAGGATCCTGCATCCGAGACAGAGATGGGGCCAGGGTCATCTGGGAGTTATGTGCTGACTCTGGAGCCTCCAGAGTCTGGCAGCAGTGAGGCAGAGGAACAAGGGGAGCCTGTTCCCAGTGCGTGCATGCGCAGAGCTGCCAGAAGGCAAGAACAGTTAAGACAAAAGGGGTGGCTTGGAGGTGATTGGCCCCTCCCATAAGACATAAAGGGGGAGCAAAGGGATAGGAACCTTTGCAGGAAGCAACTTTGTTCATCCTGGTCGGTTTGAAACCTGAAGCTCCGTGTTGAATTTGTGTTCCCTTTTGGCCTCATATAACCAATTGGACATTTAGTCATAGGCAGCATTTAGATAAACGTTCGTGCTTATCAGACTTATCCTGAAGGACTTTGGGAGACTTCCATGGGACTATTTACACACTGTGTGAAACTCATTATGGGCTGTGAATGACTATAATTCACAGCTGTTGAAATAAAGGGGGAAAAAAGGGTTTTGGGACTAATGTGTGTTTGTTAGTGTCTCAATAAGCCTTGGTCAGAACACGGTCTTTAGCAAGCCAGATTTATTTGATCGTATTATTCATTGAATGTACAGGTAGGTCCTTGACTTACGAACAACAAATGAGGCCAACTTTTCCTCGGCCAAGCAAAATGGTTGCTCAGTGAGTTTCGCCTCTCTGGATGACCTTTCTTGCACAGTTGTTAAGTGGAGCACTGCAGTGGTTACACTAGTCACATGGTTGTTAAGTCTGGCTTTGACTGTGCTTTGCTGGAATGTCGTAAAAGGGGATCACGTGATCCCAGGACAATACGAGCATCATAAACGACCAAAAAACGGTCATAAGTCACTGTTTTTCAATGCCGCAATCAGTTCAGATACCAAACAAATGGTTGTAAGTCAAGGACTACTGGTGTGTGGAAATCAGCTGATTTCTTTCAGTAAGAGGTGGAGGACTCTGCTTTAAGTCACCAAAATTGAAATGAAGGTGATACCAGAAAATGTCCGGAATTCAAGGGAAATCTACATTGGCCCTTTTAATTAGTTTATTTTTTTTCTCGACAAAAAACGAAGTTCCGACCTCATGTTTTGAATTCCCTGGAAGAAGTGGTGAAGGGCTATTGCTTAATCAGGAAGAAGTAGGGAAAAGCGCCAGAAAAAAAATTGCAGGTAGCTGATGGGTAGCTATTAAATCTCGCTACAGGTCACAGCCTAGTCAAATATTTCCCCGAAGCCGCGAAGCATAAAAAAGAAAAGAGAAAAGCAAACATCGTTCTCAGGTGTTACCAGTCTCATAAAGGTACCAGATCATATTTCCTTCACCAGCGTTAATGGGGTGCGGTAGGACTTATTAAATTTAATCTTTCTGACATAAGAGAATCGTATCAGGGTTAAAATGAGGGGTGGCCTCTGAGCTTGGTGGATTTTCTCGCACACGTTTCATTACCCAACTTGGGAACATTATCAGTGCTGGAAGGAAGTGGAACTTTTGGAGAGGAGGAGGAGGAGGAGGAGGAGGAGACGACTGTGAGCTCTTTAATGCTCTCTGAGCTTGATGTTTTTCTTGCAGACGTTTCATGAACCAACTAGGGAACATTATCAGTGTTGAAAGGGAGTGGAGCATTTGGAGAGGAGGAGGAGGAGGAGGAGGAGGAGGAGGAGGAGGAGGAGGAGGAAAGGGGACAATTGTAGGATTCTTGGCGCTCTCTTTCATTAACAAAGCAGCTTCAGTACTTATCATATTACCTAGTC